TTAGAGATGGGCACGAACTCCTGCTTTGGCACTTCGTGTGGGTTCGTTCATCGGCCAAACAGGCGTTCAGTGCTTCCCAGCTCAGCCGCCTCTGGAGGGCACCCACTCAGAGGTAGAGCCCCTGCGGGTGCTTCCTCTGAGTGGGCACCCACTGCAGGAGGTTGGGCTGGGAAGCGCTGAACACGAGCGAGCGTGAATTGGCAAGCCGGCAATTTGTGCCCATCTCAAAATGGATTCGCTTTCACTTCTGCCACTTCTTTCCTGCTCCCAATTCAGACTTAAAATGTATTTTACTTTCTGCTGGGTTCAGACAAGGCTGAAAACTTGGAGCCCTTGATTTATTTATTTATTTTATTTATTTACAATATTTTTAGCCGCACCATTGCCAGTGGCTTCTTGAGGGCTGACTCTGCTTTTCCTGAACCCCCCTCCCTTCGGTTATAGGTCAGAGGTGGGACATCATAGAATCATAAGTATTGTAGAAGTGGAAGAGACCACAATGGTCATCTAGCTGAACCCTCAGCCAGGAAATCTGCAGCTAAATCCTGTCTAATGGATGCCCACCCACTTTTTACCTAAGCACCTTCAACCAAGCAGGGTCTGCCCTCCAAAGGAGAGAGCAGCTCCATCATCAAGCATCTCCTTCCATCAGTGGGTTCTTGCTAATGTTTAGTCCGAATCACTTATACTTTGAATCCCTTGCTTTGGGTCCTTTCCTTCAGAGCAGCAGGAAACAAACTTGTTCCATCTTCAGCATGAGGTGGAGTTGAACCAGACCACAACCTGTTTTGCACACAGTTCCCATAACACTCCTTTCTTAAGCCAAAGACTATCCCTTGAAGACACAAAGTCACGGAAAGAGCGAGAGCCTTTTCCCTTCCAGCTACGGCTCATAACCTTCCCAGCCCCGAACGTCAGGTGGTGGTGGCAGAGGGGCCGATCGAGCGCCACTTTGCTGTGTCGAAAGGAGGTCATCCTCCTTCCCTCCCTCAACCCTGCAGGTACGTCTCAAGTTATTAAGGTCATTGCAAGACGTGGAAATATCAAGAGCTAAAAAGGAGATCTATGGAATTATGTTAAAATAGTCGGCGTGGCAGCAGTGCTTGGATAAATGGCCTTTTGGATAGCAATTCTTGAATCTCAGCCTAGCCTCAGCACGGCCACGGCTTCTTGCCTTCGCTGCATTAAGTTTATTGGAGAAAATGATGGTCGTGCGGTGCGGTTAAGTGGATTCTGAGTCATGTTGACCCTTGGTGGGGTTTTCCAGGTAGAGAATACTCAGAAGCAGTTTACCACTCTCTTCTTCTGGGCGGTGGTGGTGGTGGTGGCGGCAGCAACGTTGAGCTCCCAACCTTTGGATCTGTGGCCAGAGACCTAACCCACTGAGCTATCCAGCCCAATACCTGAGCAGGAAAGGTGGGATATAAAGACACCCAACAACCAAGTGTATACTTTGCCTGTCAAGTAGAAAGGCCCTAATCCAATGCAGAATTTGCAAAGAAGACTTTCAAGGCAGCCTGACCATCCCACTCATATACCTCCCCCTCCTCCCACTTCTCCACTTGGCTGCCTCATGCGGTTGTCCCCACCCACAGCCCCCTCCCCACGGTGCTACATTGCCCCATGGAGCTCTTTTCAGTCCCATGGAATTGCTCCCCCTCTCGTTGCCCTTTTCAGTCCCATGGAATTGCTCCCCCCCCCTTTCTCTGCGCCATCTCCTCCTTTTGGAAAAAAGGCCAGGGACGTTGAGCTTTGCAAGCTGGCACTGAGTGCAGCCCTGAGCATCTTTGGGGAGACCTGAGTGAGCAACAAGAATGGGAAGCAGCCGCTTGGATGGAGGAAGACGGACAAAGACTTTCTGCGGCAGCAGCAGCTTGGGGAGCACCTGGCCCCTCCCTACCCTTGAAAAAAAAAATCTCTCCCACCGCTGGCTGAATCTGGGACAGCCTTAGCGGGCCAGCCTCTGCCTCTGAAGGACAATAGCCATGTTACTTCTTCCCGGTGCACACATGCACCCCTTGGCTGTTTTCTGTAGATGTGCCTTTGTGTGACTCAAACTCCTCTTGTTCCCAAGAGATTGCTTTATTGGTGACGCTGGTAGACGCGAGTGTGGCAGAAGCATCTCATGTGATGAATTATCTTGGCTTTATCTGCAGCTGCCGTTCTTCTCCCTTTGTTTGTTCTTTCTGTCCTTCCTTTTCTCCGATGAGCTCAAGGCAGTGTACGGGGCCTCTCCACAACCACCCTGTGAGGGAGGTCAGGGTCATCCCAGCCACCGCCAACAGCAGCCTGTGTTAGGCAGCTCAGCCTGGGAAGGGCCCAGTCATCCCAAGGCATGGCATGGCTCGCTGGGGTTTGAACCCTGGTCTCCCAAGGCCGTTGCAATGCTCTACCCGCTCCACTGTATGGGTTGTCTTAGAGCATGAGCCCCTCTGGGTCATGACTGATGTCCGCTCTTGGAAAGTCCTGGCGGGGGTGGGAGAGAAGGAGCCGCCTTTCCTGTCCCTTGTTCCCTGCCTCTTTTAATCGGGAGATGCAGGGGACCGAACCTGTGCACTTCTGCTTGCTGAGGTTTGTGCTGAGCCACCGTTTTTTTTCCTAGTCATCTTCTTTCAGGAGGTTCTGGTGCTGGACAGCTCCCAGTGGCTGAGCAAGAAGGGGAAGGAGGCCCCGTTTTGTGTGAAGGCTTTTGTGGATGGGGTTCAGAAACCCCCGAACTTTGCAAAATATGAGTTGGGCTTCTTCCTCGGAGGTGCGGCCCCTCCCTCGCCCATTGGGGGGCAGAGGCACGTGTCTGTGCATGTTTGGCACATGAGCCAGCAAGGAGTGGGTGAGGACTCGGGAGACCGATGTTCAGATCCTTGCTCAGCTGTAAAACTCAGCGGATGGCCCCGAGGCTGGTCTCTCTCTCTCTCTCGGCCAAATCTCACAACGTTGTGGTGCAGACAGAACGGAGGTGGGGAGAGAGCCGCGTGGACCCCCGTGAGCTCAGTGGAGGAAACGTGTGAGAGGAACCAGAGAAATCCACAGATCCATGTCTTTTGGGGGCAGCAGCACGACGCAACTGCACACCCCTTCCCCCCCAGGTCTCCAAGAAGGGTGCCTCTGGTGGCTCATGCCTTGCATTGACTGCAAGTGCTGATCTCTGCTTGTTGTCTTTGGGCCTCTTTGCTCCCTTGCAAAAGAGCCGTCAGGAGGGCAGCTGGAACCGGATGGGTGCAGCCAACATGTGCCACATCTAGGGCTATCTTTTGCTGAGCAGGAGGGCTTGCGCCTTTTGGGGCATGGCACCGAGAGAGTAAGAAGCCACCCCACCCTATCCATTACTGGTCGCCTTGAGACATGCCTTGCTTTCTGATTGGTGCTATTTTTAAACAAATATGGACCTTCATAGTGCTTTTAGGATTGATTGGTTGATTGATTGATTGATCAAACGATCGATCTTTCTTTCTTTCTTTCTTTCTTTCTTTCTTTCTTTCTTTCTTTCTTTCTTTCTTTCTTTCTTTCTTTCTTTCTTTCTTTCTTTCTTTCTTTCTGTAGTTTTGCAAATGCATGCTGCTGCAGTTTTAATTTTCTGTGCTACGTTATTTTCTGGGTTGTATATTTTTTTGTGCTAGAGTTAAAATATTAAAAATAAAATGGGTGTCCATGAGTGTAGCTCAGGAGCTGCATGCTAGTGTATCCACTCGCCTGTGACTTTAGCAGTGTGGCAGAGAGGCTTCTTTTTGACAGGCCTCTTAACCCTTGATGACTGAGTGCTGAGACTCTTGGTTTGGTTTGGATTGGATTGGCGTCACTCAGAGAAGCCATAAAGATTGCCTCGGGTTCTAGTTATGGTATATATGTTTAGTCTTTTAATAGTGCATTTTAATCACTGCAGTTTTTTCTGTATGATGTTTGGGGGGGACCATCAGCAGGGAGCAGAAGAAGCTTTCAGAAATAAACAGCAAATCATTTCCCGGGGGGGACTCAAAATACCTTCTTCTGGTCCAGGAACCACATTCCCACAAACAGAGGAGATGTCCCACTTTTGCTTCAAGGCAGGAGTGGGGAATGGATGGCCCATCGGATCCTGTCACACTGCAACTCTCCTCTGCCTACCTGTCCTGGCCAACAGGGAGGGCAGAATCTGGATGTCTACATAGTCTGCTTCCCTGCCGTGGTAGACATTGTTTAATAGCAGGCTCTATGCTTTGCATGTAAAAGGCCTTGGAGTCAGCCCTTGGCATCAAGCGTTGTTAGGATCCCAAGCTTGGAAAGGGCTAAGTCCTTAAAGCCAAGAGATGAGTCACCCTGGACTTGAAAGAGCAGTGGCCTGGCTCACGAGGAGGGTGCACACCTTCTGCATGACACCTACCAAGCAAGACGAGAAGCACCGTGACAGCTCCAAATCGTCCTGAGTGCACCTGTTGGCATCCGATTTTGGAAGCTGCGCAGAGTCAGGCCTAGTTAACGCTTGGATGAGGAACCCACCAGGCCATCCCAAAGATGTTCACGTAGGGCTGCTGGTGGGGGGGGGGGAATCCTCTCTAAAAACACTTAGAGAGCCACAGCTTCCAGCTAGACTTGGCACCACCGGACCAGGCGGACCAAGGGCCTGGTTCAGGAGAAGGTTGTTTTAAGTTTGGAGGATGGAGGGAGCAAAGAGGGGAGAGTCCAGTACCTGCTGTTTCTCCTTTCTTTCTTTCTTTCTTTCTTTCTTTCTTTCTTTCTTTCTTTCTTTCTTTCTTTCTTTCTTTCTTTCTTTCTTTCTTTCTTTCTTTCTTTCTTTTTTAAAAAATTATCCCACTTTTCTCCTGAAAAGGACCCAAGCCGGCTCATGGGTGTTGCGCAACAGAGGCATTCCCTTGGGGGGGGGATCTGCATCCTCAGCAGGGCGTCCAGGTTCTCGTGGCCTTGTGGCAAAAATGGGGAGCTGGGTGATGCAGTTGTGAGGTTGGGAGCATCCAGGAACGGTGGCATGAAGAGTGATGTGTCTTTTTGCTCTCTCTCTCTTTCAGGCCAGCCCTTCACCCATTATTGTGAACACAGATGCCCTGGAGCCTCCCCTCTCTGTAAGTCGCCCCGGCCCTTCACTCCCCCTCCCTCCCTTCCTCCCTCCCTCTTTTTCTTTCTTTCTTGTCCTCTCTTGGCTTTCCATAGGGTCCCACCCATGGTTTCCTTGCCCTAATCCTGACGGTACAGACCCTGTGGTGCTGGTCCCGCCTCACGGCTTGACCCAAATCAGGGAAGGGGTTTGATGGTTTCTGGGTGGGTGGGTGCCTTCCTGTCTATCTGTCTTAGTTTGGGAAGCTGGTCATAACCCACCGGGAATCGGAGGGATGCTTATGGATTGGCCAGATCCCCCCTGAGGTGAGGGCATCTCTGACAGATGCCCCCCAGGGAAATTCCAGAGTGTTCAGCCTTTCCTTGGGGGCATGGCAGGGCCATTGATTTGCTCTCTATCTGTGCCTTTTGCTGTGGTTTTGATCCCCCCCCCGAAGGGTCAAGGGCACTCGGCCGTGCTACCTCCTTCATGCTGCTTTTTCTCTCTGACATGCCTTCGGCTTCTTGCACCCTCATCATCTCCCTAAAGCTCGAGGGTCCCCTCCTTTTTTGCCTGTCCATCCTTCCTACCCCTTACCCTGCGATAGAGTAGGAAAAGGAAATTAGCTGGGTCTGATTCTGACCATGGCGTGGCACGAACATCAGGATGTGTGTTTGTGAGTTGTGTGGAGGCAAAACGCACCCTTCCCCCAATCCGCTCGGGGTCGATCCCAGTTCAGTTCGGACGCAGGGGGGGGCTAGAGTCACATGGCAGTGAAGGACCCGTCTGTTGCGAAACAGGACCCATTGGCCCCGATGCTCCTTGCTCAGGATGTTCATTCAGAACATGCCGGTGGTTTGGTGGAACTTTTCTGTTTCCTTCCCCAGGTGAATGGAAGTGACGGGATGTTCAAATATGAAGAGATTGTCCTGGAAAGGGTGAGTGAGAGGTTGCGGGCTCTGCCAAGGAAACGGTGCCCAGGCTGGCACCAGCTATGACAACATAGACATTCTGAGTCAGTCGGCATGAGTGGGGGCTGAAAGGTGTGTGGGGGGGGAGAAAATGCCAGGGGGTGTTTCTCAGCTCCCTGTCTTCTCCTTGCACTGCAGGGAAGCTGAGTGTGGCAGCTTGTGGTCTCCCACGTCCATCATGGGGGCTTCTCTTTCCAGTAGGAGGCTGGGAGAGATGGCTTTTCTGTGGCCAGAATCCACATTGTCAGTTCACGCAGACGGCCCTTGGAGGACAGGGTTGTTCTAATTAAGGCACCTTCTTCATCAAGGAAAGCCTGCCTGGCCTTTTGTAAACATGCTCCCATCTCGTCTCATTCCAGGGTAACTCTGGCCTCGGATTCAGCATTGCCGGGGGCATCGACAATCCACACATCCCTGATGACCCTGGCATCTTCATAACCAAGATCATCCCTGGGGGAGCCGCTGCCATGGACGGGCGACTGGGGTAAGGCCCTTACCAGTCCCTTGGGGTGTGTGCGTGTGTGTGTGTGTGTGTATGGGGGGGGGACTTGCAGAAAATTAGTCCAGGGTCTTTCCTGATGTTGTCGCCCTCTCACACACTAGGCTAACCTGCTAACTACCGGGGTACTTCACGTCTGCTTCTCTGTATCATTGTTCAATGAAAAACAGAGAATGGATCATTTAATAAAAAATCTCAATGTATTATATTAGCTGGAAGAAAAAGGGCCTCAGTAATGTATAGCAGCAATTTTTTCAAGGTTTTGGTTTAAAAAAAATTTTTTTTTGTCATCCTGGTATTTTTTGAGGGATTGTACTTTTTGAAAGTGGGGGGGGGGAAATACAGTGCAAATGGCTGACATTTGGAGACATTAACCAAAATCCTGTTGCTTAGTATAGTAAATTGCACTAGAGTATACCCATTGAATCAATGAGGATTTAGTAAAAACTCCTCCATTGATCCAAGTTGGCCTACTCTAATTGTAACTCATTTCAGCATCATAAAATGCAGTTAGAGTAGACCTGTTTGAATCAATGGAACCTACAGAGGAGTTGACTCACTACAGCTCCACTGATTCAATGGGCCTACTCTAGAGCAATTTACTGTGCTAAGCCACAGGATGTTGTCCATTGCTTGTTGATCAGGCAACCATGCTGTGGAGTGTTGTGCCTTGTGAGTCTAGTCCTGCGTGGATTTGATTGTGGGGGCATGAAATGTCCCCTCCAGGTGCATAAGTGTCAAAGGACCCAACACATGCAAAATAAAAGTGGGAAAAGATACGATGTAGGGAGAGGTATTGTGCCAACTGCCCGTCTTCAGAGAGCATGAAAGATGGGGCAAATCTTGCTTTCTACTGCTTCAGAGGGTGAGAGGCAAACCAGTGTATTCAAATTACAGTAAGGGTGATTCTGACTGAACATTAGAAAGAACGTCTTAATGGGAAGAGTTGCTTCACAGTGGAATGGGCTACCTTAGCAGGTGCCAAAGTCTCCTGTACTGAGGGATTTAAACAGAGGTCAGGGAGCTCTGGATCAGAGAGGCCGGAGCTGTGGATTTCCTCCAGCCCTTGGGGTGGACAGGATGACCTTTAGAAACACCCTTCTAGCTCTCGGATCCAGTGATTCAGTGGTTGTTAAGACATGTCCTCTGTCCCTTTTTGGCCTGTTGTGGCCCAGGGTGAACGACTGTGTGCTGAGGGTGAACGACGTCGACGTCTCAGAGGTGGTGCACAGCCAAGCGGTGGAGGCGCTGAAGGAAGCCGGGCCGGTGGTACGCCTCCTGGTGCGGCGGAGACAGCCCCCGCCAGAAACCATCATGGAGGTCAACCTCATGAAAGGGCCCAAAGGTGATGATGGGCTGGGGCATGGGCTGAGGGGGGGGGTTGTTGTCTGGTGGTCTCCCAAGCGGCTGGCCTTGACCGGGGACCCTGGCCTTCCCACGGATGGCTGGCCACAGAGAGTGAATAAGAGTGGAGGGCCATGGATGGACGGAGCAGGGCCAGGAGGTCACCTCTAATAGGAGGACTGGAGGCAGGTGGACCGTGTCGTGGTGAGACAATGTTCAAAGCGGCCCCACCCTGAGCATGCCCGGCCTTGTCTGACTTTGCAACCTCAGGGTAATCCTTGGGTGACAATCCCTCCCCAGGGTTGGCTAGGGACCCCCCCCCGGGCGGTGGAGCAAAAGAGTCCAGGCCAGAAGGCTGGAGAGTCACTGTGGCTGCCGGTCAGTGTTGACCGCCCTGGACCAGATAGGCTGAGGGTCTGACCCAGGAGAAGAGGCCGCCCTGTGTTTTCTGCGGCCATGGCTTTCCAGAGGCTTTGAGAAAAGGCTGGAGAGGAAAACAGGAATGGTTGAGTCAAAAGTCAAGAGCGAGGCAGGTCAAGAACAGAACTGGAGGTGGCTCCGCAGTCAGGACTGGAATGGAGAGGAAATGGACCCTGAGGAGAGCCAGCTTTTCCTGGGGTGCACCAGGGTGCCAGAGGAGGAGAACATGCAATCGGGGAGGGGAGGGCTGTGTAGTAATCACCCTCTGCTCCTCGTCCTCATTCCCTCCAACCTCAAAAGATGCAACCTGTTCCTCTGGGTGTCTAGATGTCAGGGACCCAGAAACGCACGTCTGGTGACCTGCGATGTGTATTGGGTAGGTGGGCTGGGCTTCCAGAGGGGTGGCAGCTGAGTGAAGGATCTCATTTGGTTGCATGGCTCGGCAATGTGCCGTATTCAGGAGGAGGGACAGAGGGGATGGTTTTTCTTTTCTGCCGTGCCCTGCAAGATTTAACGGGTAGAAGAGAAATTTGGGGATCTGGGATGAGCTGATGTGGGTGACAATGCAGAGAACGGACGCCCCAGTGGCTCTTAAACGGGACGAGGAAGGAAGGTGTTGCTTTTCCAGGACAGCTACTGCGCTTCTTCCTCACCCTGCTCCCTTGTCCCCAGGGCTGGGCTTCAGCATCGCTGGAGGGATCGGGAACCAGCACATCCCAGGAGACAACAGCATTTACATCACCAAGATCATTGAGGGCGGGGCAGCCCAGAAAGATGGGCGGCTGCAAATCGGTGACCGGCTGCTGGCGGTGAGCACGTGGCTTGTTTTGCTCTGCACCCTGGGCTGGGCCGTAGGGCGCGCCCTCGGCACTGGATGCACAAAGGATCCTTGCGGTGCCCCTAGAGGTTTATAGACTGATGTGGTATTGGGGAGACTGGTGGGTCGTTGGCGTCTCATTAGGGGGGCGTGGACATGCTGCGCCAGCTCTAGGCTTGCAAAATAATCTTCATCTTTTTTGGGGAGGGAGGGGGAGGTAGACAGTGCCTGCCTTGATCGTCCGGAGCGCAGCCTGTTCGGAGCCCAACCCCCCCCCCCAGCTGTTGCATCTAAGCAAGTCTGGGCTCCCCACCTCGCTCTGCCCCCTCCCTCTGGCCAGCTTCTTCTCTGTCTTTCCCGGCCTCAGGTGAACAACACCAACCTGCAGGATGTCCGGCACGAGGAGGCCGTGGCTGCTCTGAAGAACACCTCGGACATGGTGTACTTGAAAGTGGCCAAGCCGGGCAGCATCCACCTCAACGACATGTATGCACCCCCCGACTACGCCAGCAGTATGTGTCCACCTGCCTTCTGGCCCTGGCTCCGGGGGTGGGGGGGGGAGGGGATTGTTCCCAAGAGGAAGTGCCCCCAGCCTTTGCAAAAGGCCTAACTGGGCTGAATCAGCAGCAGCTGCCGGTGGGGGCAGGGAAGCCAATTTGCAGGTTCCCCAAAGTAACTTTTCCAAGCCCTATTCTAGTCTTGTGCCCTTCCACCCCCTGTGCCCTGAGGCTGCCGTGCCGCTCCTGAATGCGGAGCCTCTTGCAGGATGGGAGAGCCACCTCTCGGAAGGGGGGTTCAGGGCCAGGGGCTGCTCCTCCTGCAAAAGGGGCAGTGCCCCTGTGCCCTCCCTGACCAGCCCTTGGGGCCCTGGGGTCCGTGTGGGGAGTCAGGAAGGCAGGCAGGGCTGCCCGTCCCACCACTGTCTGTGGCCTCATTGTCAAAGAGGGGAAGAGTCCTATGAAACGGGCCACTATGGAGAAGCGTCGGGTGTGGTGGGGTGGGCAGGGGAGCGGGGAGAGAGGCCAGGGCTGGCCCCACGGCTCCTGAGGCCCGCTTCACTGCCTCTCCTCTTTGACTCCGTAGCTTTCTCTGCCTTGGCTGACAACCACATAAGCCATAACCCCAGCCTGGGCTACTTGGGAGGCCTGGAGAGCAAGCCCGCCTACCCTGCGCCACCACAGGTCACACCTGCCCGCTACTCACCTGTGCCACGCCATATGATTGGGGATGAAGATTTCACCAGGTGAGCACAACACCCAAAGCCTCCTCCACCACCACCCCTTCCCGTTCTCCAAAAGACTTGGAAGCTTGTTGTCGGAAGAACTGGAAACAGTGACCCTGAGGAGCCCCCCCCCCCAGGGAATAGCTTGGCTGCCAGCGGGGCAAGGAGAGAGCTTTGCCCGAACCCTTCCCTCTCACCCAATGCTCCTTTCAGGCTTGACCCAGCCATGCCAGGCTTTTGGCAACAGAGGGTCTAAAGGGCTGTGGGGGGTGTTTGTGGAGGGCTACAGGGCTACAGGAGAGGGCCGGCGGGTGGGGTGGAGGCCAAGAATCCTAGGGACGGCTCAGTGTGCTCTGCAAGTTAAAAAGAGAAAGCCACATTCTGCACCAGAAAAGAGAGCTGTTTTGGGCACTTCACACCTGTCACACAAACCTACCTGATTTCTGGGAAGGAGCAGCTGCCAGCTGGATATTCCAGGGGACAAACCTTGGAAATGCGAGCAGGTTGCCTTCCTTCCTACAGATCTGCCCACCAGACTGTATGGCAGTGCCAGCCAGTGGCCACAGGAGGGCAACTTGGGACTTCCAGAGAGGGAGAGGACGGTGGGGGCGGCAGAATGCCTTTGAACCATGCACGTGCATATTTCCCCCCCCCCGTCCCCCAGAAACATCTGATCTGAAAGAGGGGGCTTGCATGCTAGTTGGAATGGGAAGACGCTGAAGACTCTGAGCCCAGAAATATGCATAGAGAGAGCAGTATTTGCTTTTTCTTGCTGAAGCAACCATTCTGACTATTTTTTATTTGTTTACACCCTTTGTTGACCACTTTCCTGCTTGCCAGGCTCCCACAGCAACGTACAAAAGAGGACGTTATTAAAAGTAGATTGAAAGCTTCATTTAATGAGCGGCTTCAATACTTTCTTTGAAAGCAGATTCAAAACATTGTGCAAAAGCCAATTTTTAAAAGTCCCAGGGCATTTTGCAAAAGCAGGGTTTTGGCTGTCCTCCAGAGGTTTGGAGAGGGTGCAGCCAGCTTCACCGTCCTTGGTAGGGATTTCCACAGTCAGTCTGGCTTCTGTGCTCACCAGCCGAGATCCTCGGGAAGCCACAATATCCACACACACACACACACATGCCCCAAGAACTGCAGATCTGGATCAGGGAGTCCAGCCCCCGTCAACGATGCCCAGAGGGGGAATCAGACTCCAACTTCTTACTCCATAGCCAATGTAGAGGCAAATGTCGGTCCCAGTGCATGTTCCGCTCAGGCTTGATAACCAGCTACGGAGAACAAGATGTTTCCTGCCTCCAAGCAGTCCTTAAGAAAAGCTGCTCTGACGTCTGCTTGGTGGGTAGGGGAATCGAGACCCCCACCAGTAGTACACAACTCAGTTGTTTGAGCCTGAGCGGCATGGACTGCATGCCAAATGACGAGAGGGGTCCCGTGCGGAGTCTCTGCCCCTTCAGACTGAGACTACGTAACCCACCCACCCCAACCCATTCTCTGTGCATAGCCAGGGTTGGCCCTTCTGGATCTGGCTGCAGCTCCAGGGAAATTTCAGGAAAGCTTCAGGGGCAGCTTCCCAGACGCCTGTCCTCAACATAATTTCCATGGCATGATGGCTGCTGGGGAGGGAGCAGGAAAAACCTTCCTCCAGGCCTTGGTCAAGGCGTCTGGTTTATCTCAAAGAGGCCATGCATGGCTCCTGCAGCAGAGGGGGAGGGGGGAGGGCCAAGGGCGGCCTGGATGCGGTGCAAGCTGTGCCGCCCAGTCTTCCAGCAAACGGCACCAGGAGAGACAGCAGCGCCATGATCACCGCCAACGTCTCATCCTCCTTGTCGTACGGCAGGCCTTCCCCTCGGCCACAGGTTGTTGCCAGGGACAGAAGAGGGATCAGGTATCATGTCTCTCCCTCCCAGTCCTGGCAGCAGGCTTCTTACTTAGTCTTGGGGGGCTGGGGTTGGGAAGGGCGGCTGTACCCTTTTGTTGGGTTGAGCTGGAATAAGTCTTGCCACTGGAGGCCCTTCAGAGCACTAGGCAGCTTCCGTCCACAGATCTGCGGAGGAAAACCTTCTCAGTCCAGGGTTTCACATCAGAGCCCAGGGCACCAAGGGCTCCAGAAATGCCAAGTTTATTCTACCCTAAGAAGAAGGGCGTGAGTCAGCCGTGGGTGTGGGGGAGGGAAGAACTGAGTTGTGGACAAGCAGAGGTAGAACTCTGAAATAACGCCTTAGATTGTCTGGGCTAACTTTTTTTAAAGCTATTTTTTCATTAGCAAAGAGCCCAGCCAGCTGATGCATTTCAGGAGCAAGGTTTTGTAAGTAATGCTTTTAATGTCTAAAGCGACTTCCAAAATGCCATTTTAAAAAGATGCACACCGTTTGTTTGTTTTTTCCACAAGCCAATCTATTTTAACAGGCACACATTACATCTGGCGTGTTATTTCCAAGCTTTTTGATAGGAGAACACCAAGCTCTGTCTTTGATGCAATGCAAACATCAGGGAGTGCGTGGTCATCTTTGATGTGTTTCCTGTGGACTCTTTTCATTTCAAGAACAGGGTGAGGGTTCAGAAGCAGGCGGAGCTTTAGAAAGAAGTGCTTTTCCAGACCTTTTCCAGTCTGTCAAGGGGGTGCCGGTGTGTAGGTGTGCTCCTCAGAAACCAAGAAGCCACCCTATTCCTCTCCACGCATGCCATTACCGAATCTTCCCTTTTAACATGCCTTCTTCCGTGCTCCTTCCTGTGATGTGCGCAGTATATGTGCTAGTGTGCGTGCGCACACACACTGATTTATCTAGGATGCAGAGTTCACATGTTTTCTTGGTGCAGAAATGGCCTGCTCTTGGAAAGCCTTTCGTGGGTTTACGCAGTGCCGCTACGTGAACAAGTCACACTGGCAGCAGATGCATAGCAAGACTCTCCGGTCCTGCCAGAGGGTCTAAACTTGGTCTCCTGGGTTGTCAGCGTGTTCCTCTGAGTGGCAGGAGCCTCCTCTTGCTTCTAGCAGTTCTGGATTCAGTTCCCATGTTGTGAAGTTGCATCAACCCCATCACGGAAATGCCAGGCACCTCGTTTCTTCTAAGAGGGCAGAGGCAGGCAGGCTCAGATATTCCCCGAGAAAGGGGAATGCTGCAGAGGCGTCCTATCGGTGCCTGGGTTGTGCCATTCATGGGCCTCCTCTCTCCTTTCCAGGGAGCCCCGGAAAATCACCTTGCACAAAGGGTCCACCGGCCTGGGCTTCAACATCGTGGGCGGTGAGGATGGAGAAGGCATCTTTGTCTCCTTCATCCTGGCCGGGGGCCCTGCCGACCTGAGCGGGGAGCTGCGGCGGGGCGACCGCATCCTTTCGGTAAGCGGAAAGAGGCCCTTTCTCGGTGGGGCCGTGTTAAGGCTGCCTTCTTTGTGGGTGGGAGGGTTAGGGGGAGCCTTTGATCGTGCTCTGCTTAGCAGCATGGCAGCCGAAAAGCCTGAGGGCATCGTAGGGTGTGGCCCAGGCAAAAATTGCCCAGGTTGGAAGTGTACTTTAAAAAATTTATTCCAAGGGAGAAAGGTGGTGTTGTTTGTCTGCTGTAACAACAACAACAAAGACCCAGGAAATTTTAAAGACTAACAGGCTTTCTTTGGCATAAACGTTTAGATAATCAGGAAAAACTTATTCAGTGTTAGAGCAGTACGACAATGGAACCTGTGACCTCAGGGGCAGGTGGTGAGCACTCCCAACGCTGGAGGCATTCAAGAGAAAATTGGACCACCCTCTGTCCGATCTGCTTTGACTGGGATTCCTGCCTTGAGCAGCGGGTTGGACTCGATGGCCTTTAGAGGCCCCTTCCCACTCTATGATCCTATGGCTGCAGCCCGTTTAATCATGCTTTTCCAAGTAATTTGTTCCCGTTTCTATAGTACTTAAGGAAGGCTGATTGTTATTCATTACAATGTTGAAAGACATTACTCATGCATGGCACTGCTGGTTGTTGTTTTTGTTATCACTATTTCCTTTTCTTAAAAAAATCAAAAGGCTTAAAGATTTATGAGAGAAAAGCATGAAACATTAAAAGTTTCCTGGGAAACTGCCCATTATATTAATGCTTAAAGGGAACTAGAAAATTCATTCTTTGTGTCTGTAAAGTAGCAGAGCCCATGGTTAAATTCCCTTTGAAATGTAACCCCCTTGCACCTTTGTAACTACGAAAGGGTAATTCCGTTGAGGGAGATCTCTTGCGCTGTGTCCTTTCCAAGCCATGCATGGTTGCAGCTGAGCTATCTGGATCCCGACTGGGCTGCAAGTCAGTGGGTGGGAGCATTTTCTGTCTTCCCCTCGTCTCACCCATCTCCTGGATTCAGAGAGATTTTGCCCCAGGCTCTAAGGTGTTAACCCGCTTTGCCTACACTGAGTAGCAGCTTGCCAGACCGGTCTGGGTTAGCCTAGCTTGTACTGGAGGAAGCTTGCTTCTTCTTCTCCTCATCAGAAGGGGAGACAAGCAGCCTCTTGAGCGCCAATGGATCCGGCCCGGGTGGCTCAGAAGCACAGCGCTCCTCGCCCCTTAAGGGCACTGATGCCGCAGGCAGGCTGGGCTCCCCACCTCCAGGAAGAGGGGGCTGCCTCCGGTCAGGTGGGGGATTTTGCTTTCCGATACGCGTTGGCATTGAGGACTTTGGAAGCTGGCGCCAGGTGCTCCGGTCTTGGAGGGTGGGGAGTGGGTGGGTTTGGGAGGGGGCTTGCCACTGGGCAGGAGGTGGGCATCAGAAGCACTGGCAATGGGCTATGCGAGGCTGCGGAGAGGAATGGCAGGCTAGAAAAATGTCAGCTTTTGTCAGCAGGGGAGAAGCGGGTGGCTCCGGCTTTCCTTTTCCAGGCGAGCTGACAGGGGTGGGGTTTATTTGCCCAGGTGAATGGCGTCAACCTCCGCAACGCGACACACGAGCAGGCGGCGGCAGCATTGAAGAGGGCTGGCCAGACGGTCACCATCGTTGCCCAGTACAGGCCAGAAGGTAAGAAATGCACCTGAGCGAGGCCGTTCTTTCTTTCTGCCCGAGTTTGAGTTTGCAGGTGGGGGGGGTGAACCCTCATTCCTTCTCAAGAACTTGGAGGCTTCCTCTTGTCACGGTTTGCTCCCCCCCCCCCAACCTGGTCAGGCATCCTGCGGTGGCCTGGAATCCACCCTTGTCCTTCCTCCTTGGCAAGAGGCTTGGAAAGTGTTTGTCAAAAAAGAGAGATGGAGAGTGATCACGTGGGGGCCCTCCCCCCCCCAGAAAAGTGGTGCTGCGATCCTTCAAGGAGTGGGCTGTGGACTCGTCCTGCCTTTTCCCTAACAGAAAACCTACTTTGGTTTGGAGTGAGTCTGTTTTTTGGTCAGTTGGTGGGGGTGGAGGACCCCTTCTTGAACCCCCCAGCCAGGGAGGTGATTCTGACCGTAGCAAACCAAAAAAAAGAGGAAGTTTTCCGGACTTTGCCACAGGGTTAATTTCCTTTGTACCTAATCTATTATTAGGGTGTTTTGCCTGATGGCTTGCTTTTCCGCCTGGTGGCCGGCTGCCCTCCGATTGCAAGGTTTTCAGAGTGGGTTTTTATGTAATTTGCTTATCAGTCTTGTTACGCGCTGCCTTAAGTGCCTCATCCCAGAAATAAATGTTTTTGTGGGTGCAGCCGTCCACTGCCTACCTAGGGGAGAGTAAAGCGGATCATCTTAAAACTTTTAATAATTAACTTTATTATTGGAGCACTTGTTCCTTATACAGTAAGAGCTAAGTGCCTTGTTTAGGAAGGCCCCCTTGGTCACATCGGAATGGCTGGGAGCTCTCAGAATTTCCCAGCTGGCCCATCTGCTGAGTGGTGGATTCTGGGACTTGTTGTTCAGAAAAGTAATTTTTCCCAGCTCTGGCCCTTGGACAGCCACGGGGCCGGAAGCAGCGGAAGGCAAGCTTTCCATGGGGCTGCCCCTGCATGCTGGAGAAATAGGCACCTGCTGATTCGTGTCTACCCTTTAGCCGTGCTTGACGTAACGCGTGAATGCTTTAACTCGCGTCCATGCGGCGCGGTATGGAGGGGGGAAAGGTGTGACTCTAGCAAATAAGGGGCATTCGGGATGGTTGTTAGGCGGGAGTTTAAGGTGGGGGTGGTCTTATTGGTTGCTACGCGCAGAGGCCATGTGGCAATTGGAGGAAGAATCTTGATTGATGGGAAGCCTCCAGAGGGGGCGGAGCCAAGGGGGGCCGAAAAGGACGGGGCTCTTAGAGGTAAACGGAGAGCGAAGGACCGGAGGAGGGAGGGAGGGAGGGAGGCAGGTAAGAGGCGGGCGGTGATTGGATCAGGGGGTCGTCCGGCTGGGGGGGCGGGGCATTATCTGAGGGATGCGAATCCGAGAAGGCGGGTCTTCGCTGAGAGTCGGCCGCCGTTGACTGGAGGGAGGTGAGACGTGGGGAGGCGGGCCCTGCTCGAGGAGCGAGCTTGCGATTGGAGGAAGGGGAGAGGCCCGGGCGCGATTGGGCAGAGCCGTCCGCGGGGGGGAGGGGCTTGGCCGTTCCCGCCTGGGCAAGCGGC